AGCTGACAGTTATAGATATTTCTATAGCACAATACCCAGTGCAGAAAGAATGTTTCATAATTTCAGAAATGTCTCTCAAGGACTTGTGAGACTGGTTCTTTATATAAAATCCTCTAGAACATGGAAAAAACAAAACAACTACTTGCCCATGCTCCCCCTGGCCTCAAACACTAAACTCTCCCCTCTCCCAAAGAACCATTCAGAAACCACCAAAGGCATGTTGGTGCCCTAGAGGGTTTCATCATCTCCACATTTGAATATTCATTTTATGTGAACTGCTTCACATTGTATGTGAAAAAAAGACAACCCCAACCCAGAAAATATTTTATATGACATTATTAGATTTGAGATAGCTCTTGGCTCCAGCCATCTGAGATACCACAGGTGCTTATCATATTTAGGGCTTTCTTAGTTTTGCATGCCAGTTATACAATTCTGTGCCTAGACAGGCCTGTGTTGTCTGCTTATTCTCTATATTTGGGAGGAAGATTAAAAATCAATACCACCTTTTTCAAGTACTTCATACAGTGGATAGTTAAACTATGGAATTACTGCCAGAAGAGGCAGGGCCGTCTTAACAGCATTATGGGCCCCAAGCAAAGCAGTGTACTGGGGCCTCTAAGACAACTACAACTACTGTGAATTTTGGAAATTTTCCAAGGGTTAATATACACAGATTAGTATGGGGCCCACGGGCAAGTGCCCATCAGGGCCATGTGTTAAGATGGCCCTGAGAAGAGGTAGTGGAGCCACTAGGTAGCTTTGGAAAGAGAATGAGACCTATTCATATAGGAGAATGTTATCATTGGCTAACAGTTATGTTGGGTACATATTATCTTGAGTATCTAAAGTAGTATGACTCTCAATGCCAGTTGCTGGAAAACAAGCTACTGCACTTAAGTCCACTTTGCTGGGTTTCTAAAGGCAACTGGATGGCCAATGTTGACAAGGACTTCAGTCTGCCCAGCTCTTCTTAAGTTCTATTCTTTCCTGCAAACCTTCATACTATGGGAATTGAGCCAATGATGCTTTATCATGTCTTATTTTAGAGAGTTAATTTCTGTGAACCACCTAGAGAACTTTGGCTATTGGGTGATAGAGTGACCTGAGATATATAATAAAATGAACAATATATCTGTTTGATGACTTACAGGTTTTGATATTATGTTGTTTCATGGTTCCATATTAGGTATGATTGTACAGACTAATGCTTCTTTCTTTCTCTTTCTTTCTTTCTCACCTTTTTTCTTTTCAAGGAACTCAAGGAGACTTACATAATTCTCCTCTCCTCTCAATCTTATCTCACAACAACCACCCTATGGTGTCAGTTGGGCTGGGAGTTTGTGACTGGCCCAAAGTTTCCTAGCTGGCTTCATAGCTGAGCGGGACTAAAACCCAGATCTCCTGAGTCCCAGTCTCATGCTCTTGACCACTATAGTGCACTGGGTTCTTTGACATCTGTAGGGAGCAGGGGCATGGTGGAATTAATTGGTATATTTGTCATATAGGATCCCCATAAACAGTAGTGCAGGACACCCTTCTCAGATCACATGCTGCATCACGGATTGCTATATCGCTACCCTAAAGAAACCTGGAGTCCTGGACTCACCGCAGGCAGCCAGAAACAGATATTACAGCAAGGTTAGAATCTATATGATGGTCCAGTGAATTGGGAATTAAAAAATTATTCTTCCATGGCCCCTTCCAACTCTATTATTCTATCATTCTATGAAAACACACAAAAACACCAAACATGCATTAAACATTAGTGTGAAAATTAGGCTAAATAAGAGGCATATTAGGCAAGGTCCTATTACATTATTCCAAGAGCAAAACATTTAGGAACAACTTCTGAAAACAGAGCAAGAAAAATGTATTCCCTCATGCTAGGAAAAGTCATCACACATCCAAATGTACAGCCAGATGAACTGCCAAGCAAGAACTTCTGTTGAAACTCATTTTGTGATCTTACATGCCTCTGAACTACATACAGAATACTTCCCTGCAGTGTGTAGACAGATGAGAAGGGAAGAGATAGAATACCTGCTTTGCAAGCTGAAGGACCCAGGCTCAGTCCTTCCCATCTCCAGTTAAAAGGATTCAAGAACAGGGGATGGGAAAGCCTCTACCTCAGACCTTGGAGATGCACTGCAGGCAGACTGGACATAAGGCAACTTCCTATGTTCCTAAGAAACAGAGCATGACAGTAGGCAGATACCATGTTTCCCCGAAGACCTAACTGGAAAATAAGCGCTAGCATGATTTTTCAGGATGCCCGTAATATAAACCCTACCCCAAAAATAAGCCCAGTTAAGATTGTCAGCCAGATGTACAGGGAAACACAGTAGTACATCCATTGCAACACACGAGAGATGTATTGAATTATAAAATAATAATGTTAGTATATCATTAAATATAAATAATATTATTGACATCAATATTTAAAATAAATGATAATATACATTATAATTAAGCCTGAAGTGGGCACCTTTGGATGAGAGGTAAATGCCTATGTAAACAGATGAAACTGAGACTTACTGCTGAATGACCAGAGCACAGACACAGTGCGCAAATAACATCAATATGTCGTGTGTTGTAACGGACGTACTTAATGCATGGATGAAAAATGCAAGATGGGTGCAAAAAGAAAGAGCTATTCCATCGAGGACAAGAAAGGAATCATGGAGGACTCTTGGGGCAAGAATCTTATGGCTTTTGTAAGAAAAAAAATAAGACATCAGCTGAAAATAAGTCCTAATGCATCTTTTGGAGTAAAAATTAATATGAGACCTAGTCTAATTTTTGGGGAAACATGGTAGGAGGGCCAGGGAAGGTATCCTGTAACTGTACCTGTGAAGTAGCACTATGGCAAGGTCAGTCATTCGTCTCAGATTGGGAAGGAGAAACACAGACATTGGTTTCCTACCAGATGATAGTATATCAGTCACTGTGTTCTGAACTGCAGAACTCTTTTTTAACAGGAACTTGTTGAATATTATCCTTATCCTTACATTTCTGTACCACTGATAGCTGAACCTCTCTGGGCAGTTCACAGCATTTAAGTCACCCATCCAGATTTCAACCAGGCCTGACCCTGCTTAGCAGTCAAAATTACACAGGATCAGGCACTTCAGGCTATACAGGAGCTTTGAATATCATACACCTGGGAAGTGATATTCATTCATAGCTGCGGCTTTATCAAATAATCTAGCCAAATGTTACACAAGTTTAATTGGGAAGGATTAAAGTATATACTCAATCTTATGCATATGCTTCCACTAAAAACCCATAGAACAGATCTGGTTATGCTTTTGCTGGACTGTGATTCAAAATATTAATCCAAACATGATGATGTGAGCTCATCCTGGACACTAGAAACTACACTGAACAAATGCTTCCACATTCACAGAAACACCTGTGGAAATCAGTTTTGCATACATTTGTTCAAAATTGAATATAATACTTGACCATATTACTTGCTTGTTTGAAAACAGACTATTTTAAGAATCTCATGCAATTGCATTCCAAGTTACGCAAGCTTTCCAAGAGTTGCTATAACCATTAATTTTTCTAGCTTTGGGGAGCAATGGGGTGTCCCCATTACTGTGGTCACAGTAGGAAGAGGTATGGCATGGTGGCTTCAGTGAGGCAGTTGAAGAAAAGTGGGGACAGATACCTCACAGCTATCCCTTTTTCTGGTTCTTCCCCTCACCCAGATTATTCTTGGTAGCCTTACCAGCTTGCCATTAGGTCTGGTGGAATGCCAGGTCAGCCCAGAATAAGACTTCCCTCATTCATGACTTGATTGTAGATGAGAGGGCTGACCTGGCTTGCATCACTGAGACCTGGGTGTGTGAACTGGGATAGGCCACTCTCACTCAGCTGTGCTTTCCTGGGTACTTGGTACAGCATCAGCTCAAGGTCCAGTGAAGGGGAGTGGTTGTGGTTTACAGGAACACAATGCCCCTCTCTAGGCTTCCTGTTCACTTGAGTATGGGCCTTCAGTGCTTATACCTTCTGCTGGGTGCCTGAGGCAGGGATTCTGCTGGTGTACTTACCACCCTGCTGCCCATCAGGTTTCCTGCCTGAACTAAGAGAGATTGTCTCAGACTTGGAATTGAAGATCCCCAAGATGATTGCTCTGGGGGATCTTAACTTCCATGCTGAGGTTGTTTTATTTGGGGAAGCTCAGGAGTTCATTGCTGCCATGACTACTTATTGCAGGTTGAATTCTCCTTTACATGAACACATATACACACAGCTGATATAACACTAAGAATAAGACAACTTTTCTCAACATACTGTCCAACTGTTCACAGATGAATATACGCATATCCAAAATATTTCTACAAGAATTCTTTCCAAATATCCCTTTCCATTACTACATGTTGCAGAGAGCTCTGCTTTGCCTGCTATTTATAGTACATAAATATACTATATGTACTTTTTCTTAGAAATATAGACAAACATATTGCCCTATAATGCCATGCACAGACTTGAAGGAACTGTGTTATGTGAAACGGCAGTTGCAGCACTGTATAGACAGAAGGAGCCAACTTAATCAGAGTCTATATTCAATGGTGAGAAAACCAAATCCTAAAACATGGCAAGTCACATTGGCAAGATTTTAACAAGACATCTGCAAAAGGCAAGACTAGTGACTATGTTCTGTACAAGAACATAGGAACTGACACAGCAGAAGTAGGAAAAACTGGAATATATGCCTTTATTTATTTTTATTAGTTTTGTGTAAAGCTGCTCACTAGCATTACACTCTCATTAAACAGAAACACTGAAATCTCTAAAAAATACAAAATAGCTAGTTGTCAAAGAGGCAAAGATAAATACAAACTCTGAAAAGAAAATTGTGGATTTATTACTGCAAAGCTTAACAATACGACAATTTAGAAAATTCAATTTCTTTAGTCTAAAGAACAATGCTGTGCAAAGTAAACAACAGTGCAAAAATCATCATATTGTTACTCTATCGCATAACTTACATGTGCTGGGAAGCATTTGGATAGAGCTCAGAGAATTGTGGTGCAGAGTCCTCAGGGCCATGAGGGGCAGCATGGCTGATTACCATCATTATAGGTCTATGGGGATATGTCTTCTTAGAAGTTTTGAAATAATTAATGCTGTCATTAGTGATTAAATCTGTGAAATAGTCCTGAAACAAACATTCAGCACAAAACAGCATTTGCCAAGGGTATCAAATATCACCAAAATCCATTATATCATTTTATTCTGCTATGGCAAATTAAGAGTGAATGTGATTTCTGTCAGGCTCTGATTTCAAAAGTTGGGTTAGTGATGAAGACAATTCCCAGGCAATGTCTGTGGTTCTGTTTCAAAGCCAAGACTTTGCCCAGATCCAAAGAAGGATGTGTTCCAAGAGGGATTAACAATACAGATTGCAAGGCAGAACTATAGCAAAAGGCATTAAGAAGGGCAACAAGTAGTAGGAAGAACTGTATGGAAAAGTAACTTTACATCAACCTTGTGAAGCAGATTATTATTACACTCATTGGGAAACCGTATAGAGACAGGAGGATTAAGCTGTATTATTACATTTATAGCCTTCTGTTTTGCTCTTGCAAAGAACCCATGGGGCATACATGGTCCTTCTCTCCATTTAACCCATATAACAACCCTGTGAGATAGGTTAGGTTGAGAGTCAGTACTGGCCCAAAGTCACCCATTTAGCTTCATGGCTGAGTGGGGAGTAGAATCCAGATCTCCCAAGTGCCAGTCCAACACTTCTGCCACTACTCTATCCTGGTTCTCCAGGCGTGCAAATCAGAGATGAGTCTAATACATTATCTTCCAGTATGCACTTGATACATGGAATAGGCAACATATAAAAGCACCCAAGGATCTTCACCATCTTCTTTTTTGTCTTTGTGTAAAATAGTAATGGCCCAATTCAGACTTTACACTGAACCACAGTTTAGTGTACTGAGGACAAGCATAAGGTTTGCACACCTCCTCTCTTCTCTTCTGGCACAGCCACAGGGAAGAAATTTCCACTTCTTTGTTCCATTGCCACAGCACAGGGATTCATCTTGACAATGGCTTGAAGCTAACTTGTTTTTTAAACTCTACAGTTAACATTAACACTTATGCCTCATAACAGGCACAGTGCTCTGTCTGAACAGTATCATTTAGAGCAGCACAATTGCTGATGTCAAAGTAGCACCCTGCTAAAAACCTGGCTTAACTTACAGCCAAGGTAGTAAACAGAGGCAAGAAAACAGCAAGAGGAAGGAACAAAACTAAATAAGTAAGAACTTTGTAATTAAGCCACCTGCCACCTTTAAACTTTCCATTTTGGACCAAAGAATGGGTGTGAAGTCCACTAAAGAGTCCCAAGACTATGTATGCAATTCCAGACAGTTCCAGGCATAAGTAATCAATCACATGATGTGAATAGAGAGCCCTGAACAGCTGTAAAAGCAACATTAAAAGGATGCTGGATGTGTTTCACACAACAGTGCCAGAGTAACCCAAACAGCTGTGATTAATTTTTCACTTCTCTTGAAGAACCAACCTGCCCCCAGATAACTCACCAACTACTCCTCAAGCCAAAAGTGGTTTGCTTAGAGCTGTATGGAGGTATCCACTAATGGTATTCTTCCTTCTTCTGTTTTTCATTAAATATGTTATATCTGAGTCTCAGTTTACCTCTTGAAGTCGTATTTTGGGGGCTGTTTCTAGAAGTGGAATTTTGAGGGGGGAAATCTTTCAAACCTCCAAAATCAGGTACATGGATGATATGGTACTTCCTGCTTTTGTGGCACATAAGAAAATATCAAAGACATACTGCGAAACAAAGAGTTTGCATATGGTGGGTGAACCTGCCATTATGGCCATAAGTCTACGGAAAGATAAAATCAACTACTTTTCATAAAAAGGTGTGTGTCTGTGTGTGTGTTGCTAGAGATACTCTTTGGTGTCCAGGCTTCATGAGCTTTGAGTATATCTACATTATTATAAAAGATAAGCATTGCTGATTGTGGAGTGTACTTTCTTTTACAGGTACACTTCAAGAATGTCCTGGCCATGCAAGTCAACACACTAAATTCAGGGCAACTGCTACACTGAAGTGATGCTAACTTGGATACACCAGCTCCCCCATCCTAAAATAAAAGAGAAGTTTTACAGATGCCACCTGATACAAAAGTAACATATCTGTATGATACCTTTGCATATTCAAATCCATGCTTCTCTTTGAGGCCATTGCGACAAATAGTATAATTATAGAAGCGAGAGTTCTTGATTAATCCAACCCACTCCCGCCAACCAGGAGGGATGTAGCTGCCGTTGTATTCATTGAGGTATTTTCCAAAAAAAGCTGTGAAAGGAGAAGAGCAAAATTTAAGCTGCCTGTACATGTCTATGTGGATCTGCAGTCTGGGTCATGCTCAATTCAGAGATGAACAGACATTTGTACAGTAGATCTTGAGAGCATGACCATTAATTGATAGCAATGGTGAACCTAATCTACCCCACAAATTCCCTGTTTGGCCTGCTAAGACTTGGCTCCTTGTGCAGGCTCACCTCTTGCCCAGGCTCCACCCCCAGCATTCTTCCATGGGCCCTGCTCAAGGCTAGAAGTCCTCATGATCATTGGTCAGAAATGGTGATTGCCCCTGAGGCACTGTCTTTCCCCATTGGGGTGCAGAAGGGGTGAAGAAGTCCTGGCTGAGGAAACTGTTGAATCTTTCCAGTCATGGCTAAGGTCACTTGACCTTCACTGCATATTTTTCCATTGAGAACACATTTAGGCAATGCAAACCCAAAAATGTAGTACTAGCTGGAGCTCCATGTTGCACATTACCCCACTGAGGGACACCTGCAGATGCCATCTAGCTGAATGGGGTGCCTCAACTTGTTTCCCACCCTGGTTGGTGGTAAAGTGTCACTTTTGCTTAAAAGTCCATGGTTTAGACACAACTTTCAGGATGGTTGAAAATCATTCAAGAAGAAGAAACACAATTGTTAATACATCCATTTCAGCTTTGGTGCTAGTAGACAAAACCTGAAACACCAAAAATGTCTCTCTTTGAGCCAATGGGATAGTAACATTTGGCACAGAATGCTACCACATACAATTTCACAATACAAGAAAACTTGTTACACCTAATTTCTGCTAAATTGCTCTTTGGAGCAATGAGTACAATTGGAAGCACCTGGAAGCAAAAGAATAATTATCAAAATGTTAAATAAAACAAAGGATGGGTAAGAAACTGCATAACAAAAAAAGATGTAAAGATTAATTATATTTTTGGGATGGTTGCAGAACTGTGATATATTTGTCCAGGATTAATAATGTAAACAAAAGTAGAATTTGTCATTTAACTCCTAGGGATTTTTGTATTACTATTATTAGTAGTAATACAAAATAATAATATGGGTGGTTTACAATAAAGCATAAAGCAAAACAAAATACAAATATCATATAAACAAATCAACATTAAAATAAATTTAAAAGCAGTAAATATGCAGTAAAACTGACCTGTAAAAGGAAGAATAAAATCACCTGGGAAACCCTCCCCTCTGTGGCTACTTTCTGAGCCTTTCTCAGAGCTAGCACACATTGTTCGAGTTGATAATTATATAATGTTAATTATAACTTAATTAAAATTAATTTAAAAACTCAATTTTGTCAGTTGTTGTGTCCCAGCCTTGGTAAAGTCAGCTTCTATAGAAGTGATCAGAACTTCTCAACACCTGGGAAGAACAGCCAGGTAGAGCTCAGCCAAACTATTAAACTTTGAAGCAGGAATTCAGATGAATTCCCTGATTTTTCAAAGAATCTGTATCATTAAGTAGCACACAGAAGAACAATAAACTAATCCACCTCATACTTTGTAAGTCTAATTAATTCAGTTTAAGTTTGATGGACCATATTTTGCAAGGAAAAGCAAATATGAGACCATTTTGCTTCCCAGCCTTCCTGCCAGTTTGGTGTAGTTCTGCAGTGATTCACAACTTCATGTTATATTGCTGAATTACAGCTCCCACTATCCCCATCTGGCAGGACAAGTGGACATGGAATGGAAAGTTGTACTCCAACAATATCTGGGGACCCAATCTAGCAGATACACGTATTTTCTTAAAAGCAAAAATAGGGAACCTATTCTGAATTGGGTTTCCCACTATATACCCCAAATATGGATATTGAAGAACAAACTCAAAGATGTAACTCTTTCTAAATTTCCTAAATTGATTGTGTTGAATACTCAGCTTCTGTATGTAGAATTGGGAGTGGTGGTGCAGCAGACACAGGTATATTTTGTCTTTTGCATCAGGCAGCAAAAGATATTTGGCCAATCCTTTGCTTCGGGTAACAAAATGTGTTGCTGCCTTAAGTTCAATGCAGTCAAGCTGGCCTACTCGTAATACATGTTTCTGCCTCAAGACAAGAGGCTACCCCTGCCTAGGAATGATGGAGAAATCCTCGGTGGATTCAGTGAGTCTGGATTTCTATGAATCTGACTTGCAGATTGCACAGTGGGCTAGCTTCTTCTGGTAATGTGAATTCTGCAAACGTGTAGACCAGCTTTTCACTGGAAGGGGGGATTTGTACTATTTCACATTAGTGCATCAGTGCAAGTGCACCTTAGCACTAATATACACTTGCACAAATGCACTGATTCTAATGGACTGGTACAGATTACTATCACTATTTCATTTCTATCTTGCCCCGTAGCTGAAGCTCCCTGGACAGTTTACAACAATGTAGCTCATTTGCAAATGTGTGCAAGGATCCATTAGCACTGATGTAAATTAATACAAACAGAACAAAAGTCTGGTTTAAAAAATCTAATTCTACCAGTTAACAGATGATGAAATGCGAGATGCTTGACATTCTGCAAAAGACCAATGGTACTGCTGCCTCCCTTTCCATGTACAGAGGAAAATTCATTTCAATTTCACATTAACTCTGTCATTTCAATTTCACATTAACTCTGGGAAGAGGGCAGTGTCCACCACTGCACATGAGGGAAAGAGGCTAGCTTAGGGGACAGGACGAACACAGCTCTGTCCTTCAATACTTCATCACAACACCCTCCCCCCCACAGCATCTGCTGCCTCACTTCACCTCAAGATAGGCCCAGTTTTGGCCTTACCCAGAAGGGAGTTTTCATGGGGAGCTGTACCACATCTAAACAGGTTAATAATATATAGACTGGTGTCATCTGTGCAGCAAAATAACAAATAGGCTATATATTTACCCAGCCTCTTCAGCATTAGTCTTCGACATTTTCTGTAGTTCTAGTATTTGCTTATCTCATGTTCTTTGATACTTGGCTAATGAACAAACAAACAAGAAAGCCAAGTGGCATGCTGCAACTAGCTGCAACTGCAAAATTTTCTGACTTGCTCATGTCTGAGTACTATTCACAATGGCCTCAGGCAACCAACATATTTAGAAACAGAAGCAAGGAGAAATCGGAAGTCATTTCTGTTTGTATAATTAATAAAATCCCAAGTACAGTTGAATGGATTAAATGTCTCATTAAAAAGTCATACCATTTCAAGGAACATCTTTTCATTATGGTATCTAATCTTGCCCACGGGGTAGCAGCAAAGATAAATGTAGATTTTTTTTTTTCACTTTAATGAGACAGATTTTATCTGCATACTGGCAATTCTGCTAACTGTTCCCAGGACACAGTGCCATTGTTTAAACACATGTAACATACTTTGCCAGCTTGGAATAATGGCAGCCTCTTTGAATATGCCCAATTAAGCTTGTGTAAACAGCAGTCCTTAGCAAAAAGAACAATTATTATACTTGATACTCACGCAATTAAGAGGCACTTAGTGACAAATGAGGAAGTGATCAGAGGAAAAATACACTGTCCTTCCTTAAATTTACACTTGGCTTTACTGAAGTTCCTCAAAGTATAAGATAAAACATCATAAAACAGTAACATACTTTATGAAAAAGAAAACTAAGTACTTCATTGGAGTTTTCATACCCATTTGGATTTAGATGGCAGTTGGTCATGGCTGCTGCTCTCAATGCAGCATCTGATTTCCCAACTTCATTCAGAAACTGCATACATCATCTGAAGGTGAGAGGTCTAATTTCCTAACAACCCTTTACTTCAGCCTTTCCCAACCTGGTGCTCTGCTAGTATTTTGGACTACAGTAACCATCATTCCTGACCATCAGCCATGCTTCTTTGTACTGTTGGGAGTCAAAAGCCAAAATATTGGTAGGGCAGCAAGCTGTGGAAGGCTGGTTGAACTGCTACACTCAGAAAAACAGTCTGGAATTGTCATAGTTGTTGCACTCATGACCATTTTGAACTAATGCTTATGCGAAAGCATGAATGAGGGACTTTCATCCCAGACCCCAAGATTGCCCTGCTCCAACTATCTGTAGTAACATGATGATTCCAGCACAGAAGTACCACCATTCCCAAGGATGACCCAGCAGTCGTATGGTGGAACTGCTTTCAAATGCCCATGCATGTTGACAACTGGCTACATGTTTGTGAGCCTTTTTTGTGGTAACTCCCAAGTGGAAGAATGCCCCAATCACAGACGTTTGCCTGGCATGCCCTCTACTCTCTTCCCAGTGCTAGGCAGAGGATGTTGTTTTTTGCTTTTAATCCTTTCAACCCATTTCATTTTTTAGCTTGCTACCTATTCTACTTTAAATAATAAGTTTAAAGAGAAGCAGTGAATGGTATAGTGCTTAGAGCATTGGATTGGGACTCAGGACAATTCGGTCCAGCAATTCAGCCAAATCTACTTTACATGTTTGTTGTGAAAATAAAATGGGGAGAAGGAGGAACATGTAAGCTTCCTTAGATTTCCTGAAGGAAAAACAGTGGGATATAAATAGAACAAAGCAGGCAAACTGTGTTCTAAGATTCCTCTTCTGTGCACTTATACATTTTAAGATTTGTAATGGCCTTGATCTTTATCGTCTCCTTTTAAAATACTGCCATTGCTGCAGTTGTCAATTTATTTTTGATTTTTAGGTACTTTATTGGTTTCCTTGTGCTTCTTTTGATTGCATGCATCACCCTCAGAGCTTTTGTCTTTTCATACAGGACAGAACATGTGTTAAGAAGGCCTTTTAGTGCTCAGGATGATTTTAAACATGCAAGCAAACACTTTCCATCATAATTGGCCTAACCCATCTGGAGTTGATTTGCAAATGGCTTCCCACATGGAAGTTATCTGTAGGGCATATTTTCCCCTCAGTGACAGACATGTAGACGGTATAAATGTGTGAAACAGGGCTCAGTTGCCAAGTGTCGAGTCATGCAAAGGGTTTTTTTTTTAAACCATGATAGCTGTTATGAAACAGAAAAGTATTCATGCATAAATACCATCAATTAAAATGAACTGAAATTTTCCACAGAAAAGATCTACATTTAACACTATACAACATGTGGGGACGTGACAAATGAGGGTTGAAAAGAATTTTATCAAATTCATGCAATACATTTGTGCTAGTTCTTATTCAAGATACGTAATGAGGAATGACACCGCTGGATACTACCCATTGCCTTTGTAGCATAATGATGTGTGGGCAGCTTCAGCATTGCAAGCCAAATGTGATGTGCTGGACTGGTGTGGGACTCAAAAGATCTGGCTTCTAGTCCCTGCTCAATTATGAAGCACTCTGGTGACTTTGAGCAAGTCACAGACTCTCAGCTTAACCTACCTCACAGGGTTGTTGGAGGACAGAATGGAGTATTTCTTTTCTATGCTACCCAATAGGTGAAACACTCTGGGTGGTGAACCACAAGGTAGAAAAGTAGAGGAAGAGTATATAAACTGTCTTTAGTTCCTTCTAAGAGGAAAAAAGTGGGATATAAAGATGATGGTGATGGTGGTGATGGCGATGTCACAATTCCACTACTAAAAGAAATTCCATTGCCCTAACAAAGTGGAGCATAGGCTAAGGCCCTTCTCAAATATGCAAGGAAGGATATTTAGTGTAGGCATAAGGAAAATATTGCTGCATGGTTGAAACATAAAACAAAACAATTAAACAATGAATCAGATACAGTCCAAAGACAAATGATACATTTTGCACGACCTTTTCACATTTTTCTGTAGTAGAACACCTGAGGTCTTCATCTGAGTTCCACCTTAAGGGAGGTTTGGAGCGTGGCAGCAAGAGAGAGCATCTTCTCAGTGGGGGCCATCAGCTGTAGAATGATATCCCCCCCGAAGCCTGTCTGATGCCAAATTTGTTATCCTTTTGGGGCCAAGTGAAAACAGCTCTTTGTGTCAAAGCATTTGAAGATAACTGAGGATAGCTTGAAGCAGGTACTCAGGACACATGTTTTTTGCAGGTCTACTTGGTGTTAAAAATTGTTAGCTGTTAAACTGTTTTTAAATTTTGCATTTTGGAAAAATTTTACAGTTGTTTTATTGCATTTCAGTCCTGTTTTAAGAACTGTTGTAAACTGCCCAGAGATCATTGGCTTTTGGAAGGTTCAAAAATAAATGAATTAATACAAATGTTTATTTGTGACTGCATCATTCATCACTGACCTTAAGATCAGAAGAAACAGCTGTTAAGATCTGTATAGGCGAGTATTTAGTTCTGTGCATTAGCAACCCAAATGTAATACAGTCCTCCCAAATTGTGTATAAATGCAACAGCCCTTCTCCCACACCTTTACATCATCCTGATCCCAAGCAGGGCCCTAAGCCTGCAATTTGGATTGGCAAGTGTGCATCCAAACAAATGGGTTATCTTTCGGTAATGCAAATTGAAGGTCCAAGCCCCCTATATAGAAGAATAGGGAGCTTAGAAGGAGAAGAAAAAGAAGGAAGACAAAAAAGGGCTAAAGCCCCTAAACATTATGCTAGGGTCACAATCAAGATCAGGTTCCCCATGCTTAATTTTCCATAATGAAAAAAAAAAAATACACGCTGCTGCAACATACATCTTTAATGCAGGAATGCAGGAATGAAGAACCTGTGGCCTCCTTTTTTGGCCTATAACTCCCATCAGCCATAGCCAGTATATCTACCATGAGGACAAATGAGAATTGTAGGCCAAAACATGTGAAGAACCATAAACAGTAGTAGCTGGGGCTCCAACAGCAGAAAGGTTTCAACAGCAGCTTTCAGTTTAAGATGTAAAGGAGCTACCCATGGTGCGGAACCTATTTTGGGGATAGGTAGCTCAAGTTCAGACTGATTCTCAGAGTGAATACATCATGCTGCTGACTATGGAACCTCCAGATTCTGTTGGTAACAAGTTGCCTACCCTTGCTTTAATGTACTATATAGTTTGAGCCTAGGAGGTCTACTGTCTATAGACATGACTGTTACATTTACCTACCATGGCTGATCGCCAGTGATTCATCTAATCTCTAGGAGTGAATGACCCTTTGCATAGTTTCTGATTTTTATGCTTTTAAGTTAATTTCCTTCCATCTTCTGATCAGTTGCTGAGTTTGAAAAAAAAATTACTTGAACATTTATATGCATTTTGGTGTACATTTCTCCTAATATAAGCATTTTTGTAACCAATTTCTCATGACATTCTATTATGTATGACATTTTCGTAAATATATATACAAATATATTATTTTGCACACACTTTCATCTAAAGGTTACATGTTTATATCCATTTGTTTCAACTGAAGAATTGCATTGTAAAATTCAGCAGACCTTGAATACTGAAGTATAAATTTGTTTCATTCTGTATATTACTTCAGAAAGTGCAAATCAGCTAAGTTCACATTGCAACACTCACTAAACAAATCTTTCTTTGTTGTTATGTGCCATCAAGTTGTTTCCCGCATATGATGACCCTATGAATGAATGCCTTCCAAGAGGACCTGTCCATGATAGCCCTGCTCAGCCCTTGTAAACTCAAGGTTTTGGCTTCTTTAGAGAATGGATCTATCTCATATTTGGACTTCCTGAGTTCTCCAGTGAATCTTGCTTTCTCATGACGTACCCAAAGCATGACCACTCTTTCATCATTTTTGCTTCCGGGACCCACTTCCATTTTTGCTCAGACCCACTTGTACCTCTACCAAATTTGTCTGTTTAAAGAGTATTAGGCCTTTAATTGCACACTTTTGTATAATGGTGCTCTAAAAATAAGAATTTCACATTATCCTTTATTATTTACTGTGTCTACGTACCATCTTGATCTTGCAGAACTCAAGATGCTACACACAGGGCTCCTCACTGGTTTCCTTTTTCAGCATTGCCAAACTATGCATCTCCTATCCAAGCAACAGCAAGACCCAATCTTGCATTTTAAAGGGCATCAGTAGACTGAAAGCAAACAAACTTTATATCAAGTGGTCAGAAGGCTGCCCCCTACTTACCAGTCCTGTATCCAGTGTTGTTGAGATACACTGCAAAAGTACGTGGTTCATGTGTTGCTTGCCAGGAAGGGGAGGAGCAATTCTCATTATTAGTATAGATGTTGTGGTTGTGAACATATTTTCCTGTCAACATTGAGGAACGGGATGGACAGCACATTGGGGTGGTTACAAATGCATTGACAAAACTGGCACCTCCATTTTCCATTATCTTCCTGGTTTTATTCATCACTTGCAGAGAACCTAAACAGAAACGGTCATATGAGTAACTATTGCTCATTCACACCAACAAACCCAGTTTGAACTCATTCATATAGCTTGCCTCCAACATACATATAACCATGTAGCTCCATTATCTCTAAATGTATTAATTGTTTAGTATCAATTAATTTCACCAGAAGAGCTTTTTAACTATGGGTGTGTGTGTGTGTGTGAATGCACGTGTGTGTGGATGCACACACACACACTCTGAAATTTTAGATGTGGACTATTTACTCTCAAGATCTACACACCATTTTGAAGCATTTTGTTTTTGACAAAGTTTCATTTTGTAAAAGCAAGAATTCAGATTCCAACATCTTGAAAATAAGACACAGGATTAAGCTAAAATAAACGAACACCAAGGGTTTAAAATGCCAATAAAATAATGTTATCAACATGGAATGTAATCAGAAATTTGCCTTTTTGACTTTAAGTGTAAATAGAAGTGGTAATTTAAAGGTAAGTCTGCAAACTCCTGAAGCATTAAAAATGCCTTTTCTATGTCAAAGTCACACTCTCTTGCTTTGGTAGTTGCAAGGTAATGAGTGAAGTATTAGTGTTAAGCTTATGAATCTTGTGACCAATAGCTATTTAATTATACATATGCCAGTACTATTTTTTCCAAAATTAGGTTAACTTTTAAACACACACACTGAAATGAAACAGAAGTCCTCAGTACATGGACAAACTCAAAGGGTTTTCTTCAGCTCAGGTCTTACATTTAGAATCTGTATTAACTTTTTTTTCGGTGCATCATTTATTTACAAAGATCAATAGTGCTTAGTCCCAAGTAAGCATGACCTGCTTTCCAGAAAAAATGAATTGTTATGAAGTTCAAAGAAACTTGACCTGAACTGCTTTGCAAAGAAAAACTTCAGTTTAGTTTGAGCTGTTGGCTATGTATCCAAGGTTATGGAAGACAGGCCTCTGTTTGAAGATATCCTCTGTTTGATGGGCCATTCTGTTCATGACCTGCTTGAGGATGAACAATAAGAAAGGAGAGCAGAGGCCTAAGAATTGCCCATCAGCTAGGAATGTACAGCAAATGCTTTAGGCCTGCAGGTAACCTTCTCACAGCCTCTGCTAGTTTAGAGCTTAATTGGGTTGTAGCTTAATTCTATTTTAAAATGTGTATCCCTATCTGTAAATTAACATGTGTACATTTATGCATATACTGTATGTCCTCCTTGGAGGTAAATAATTTCCTCCTTTTTCTTAATGCATAATAGTAGAAAAGGAAGAGCCCTTAGCCTGTACCAGGTTTCTACTCAAGCTCAATGCTTGAACCATGCACTGCATAATCTAGCCAGTGTGCAAAACACGTTTGTACTTTTTAAAAAAGATGAAAAACATAGCTGCAAAACCACAGACTTTTCAGGGGGCTACGTTAAAGTGTAGAATGTGAGGAAAAAAATGCCAGAACTCACTTCTCTCCATCTGCAGCCTGCCCAACAACAACCATGCATACATATACATGGCCAATTATGGAAATATGACCAGCTAATTAAGGGTTATGCTACATGCATCTGATGAAGTGCATTCTAGCCCATAAAATCTTGTACCATGATAAATATGGTAATCTTTACATTGCCACAAAAGTTGTTGATTTTGCTCCAACAAACTAACAAGTCAGTCCCTGTGGAAATTGTATTTAATTGGCTCATTTTGGAAACTAAGCATGCTTTCAAATCAGACAATGCAAGTCTAATATGCTGATTTACAGAGAGATTAGGAATGTCCATATAAATCCCTAATATTAGGGTTCTCCACTCTAGCAGATGGTTACTGTTTGATTTTGTTCAATTTCCAGGAGAATGAGAGTTACCCCTCAAAGTATGTCAATTTGGGAAGCTGCTTGAAATAATCTTTGTATGGTAGCTGAAACAAATACAACGTATTACATGCTAGCGTCTCTGTATTCCCTGATGGCCAATGGCAATAACATGGATATATTCCCAGTCATACAAGCCATCTCTGTGTTAGCTACATGATGAATGTGTAATATAGAGGCAGTTTCAATATGCTTCCGTATTTGGGCTAGTACATGTAGACTAGTCCTATGATGAGAACAGCGTTCCCTAATTTGGTATGCTCCAGGGAATTGAACACAATTCCTAACATTCCTGACCACTGGCCAGGCTGAGAGGGACTGATGAGGATTGAAGCACAGGAATTCAGGTTGCTTACATGCCCCACATCTTGCATTCATCTAGGGTATTATACGTATAGACTGTGAATAGTCGGAAATGGATGGTCATGCAAAGGCAAGATTGTTCTGTTAGTGAAGTCATACCTCTTCTTTAAAGACCCAGTTCAGACACCACAATAATCCACAATCCATTGCTGAGTGTCAGTTGTTGTTGAAACGTGGGTCATCATGTTATTTAAACCTGGCTGTGCTAACAAGTTACAGCTGTCAAGCACAAACAACTTATGAACAGAATCCACAGCTTCTTGCTGAGTAGCTAAGTGTGGGTTGTTCACCATGGTTTGTTATGCTATTGTCTGTAGGTTCAGACAATCTGATAACCCACATTAACAACAACCCACAGTTTAATGATACCCACACTTAACCTATACTCAGTCTTTTCATATGGGTTATTATGATGGCTGAAGTCAGATAGCTGTACCTTTGGTTTCATTTGCTGCATACAGTCTGTTACCTGACTTTCAGCAGACAACATGGTAATTTCCACTCTTAGATATGAGATGGCTTATTAAGTTTCGCACCTGTCCTCTGATTTTCACTCCTTTGTTATAGCAGTTGACAAGAGGTCACATCACCACAGGGAAAGATGCAGGATCATGCCACAAAAATGTGGTCAAATGTTGTCCTATTATTCTTCAAAACACGGGCAGCTACTCAGGGCCAAGAAAAATAGGTTGTCTTTTAAACAAAAATTGCCAATTAGCAGAAAGGCCATGTTCACTCCATAATCAGGGGCATGGCCTCTGCAATTTATTGCTGGACCATCACAACAATAAATAGGTAAAAAGCAGGAAAAGAAACCAACAGGTGAAAGCTCCACATGAATAACCACAGTTACAAGTAAGTGACTCTCTTGTCCAGTAGGATAGCTTAGAAGGCCAGAATCGATCTCAAGTTGCAAGCAGTATGAAAGATGAAGGTGCCAAGGAGTATACTAAGATAGGTGAAACAACCAAGATGAATATGGTCCACTTGTGGCTCAACTTGATCCCAAGGTTCAGTACCGAAGAGAAAGGTGAGGGTACCATGACAGATGAACATCCCAAATGGGCATAGTCTCACTAGCGTGTTCACTTGATTCCAAGGCCAGGGCAAACAATGTTTGACATGAGAGGAGATATTGCTGGCATCAGCTTAGAGTGGAGGCATGAAATCTCTTGTTCCTAGGACCAATCTTTAGCTGCTCTAGTGGCTGCTTGCAAAGCTTGCTCTCAAAGAAGCATTCTAAGTTACACAGTGCAAGGAAGTGTTGACAACATGCCCTTCCTCCAATACTATAAGCACAAAGACTATCCCTCCCACACAACACACAGTATTCAAATGGTTAAATACTATAGCAAAATGGGCCATTACTAGCAAAATTAACTGCTGTTGACAGGCAGCTTCCTGCTTTCCCAAACAGTTTTCATTGCACAGGGTTTCAGAAAATGCCTCTTTTAATCAGAGGTTGCTGAACATTAACAGCTATTGATTCTGCAATGGAGCTCAGAATCAATGAAGACATACCAAATGCAGTGAAAAAATGAATGTTGTTGTTGTTGTTGTTGTTCTGCTTCTTCCAGGCTTTCCAAGTCTGTCAAGTAAATATGAATATGTGCAGGGAAAGCAAATATGCTGATGGGGTCATTTACAGAACAGAAGGTGGTTTCTTTAACAGCAACAACATAGAAACAAAACAAAAGGTATGAAACTGAAATGATGCTGCAATTCACAAGCAACTCACCAAGCTCCACATCTTGATCATCTGTGAGTACAAGGATAATGTTAGGTCTAATGTTTTTTCGCTCCTGCTGCACACGTCCTCTGAACCTTGGGGACCTGATAGTTGTACCAAGACTGCTGAGAAGTTCAGAGCAAAGCACAGTCCACACAAGTGTAATGCAATAATGGTTCATTGTTATCTATCAAATGCTGCAGTTAAACCTTTGTGCAAATGTTTCAGCTCCTATTTTTCAAGCTCTGTAGAATGAAAAGGAGAAAGAAAGAAAGAAACCTGGTGTAAAACTCAGCTCTTAGCTAAAGTAGCAGTACATCTGCAGAAGGAAGGAAGGAAGGAAGGAAGGAAGGAAGGAAGGAAGGAAGGAAACCTAATAGTCCATCTGAGGTTTGATTTGCGCCTTACCTTTCCACCAAGAAAAAGGTAGTTAAGCTAAAATAATAAATAAATTAAAAAGCAATTAAACAAATACATTTAAACACAGTTTAAAGACACAAAAATAACATGATGAAAACAACACCAAATCCAAAAGGCCAGTCTGTATGTCAAAGTCCTCTCCAAATAAAAACAAATTTGCTTTCTGGCAGAAGGACACTAGAGGGTGCCAGTCTGATGCCCCTCAGTCAGAGGTTCCATGGCCTGGGAGCAGTCACCAAGAAGGCCTCTCTCATTTTGCCACCAAATACAGCACTGGAAGCCACAGTACCAGGAAAGGGTCTTCTACTGAAGACCCAATCTTCTATCTTAAAATGGGCAGGCTTCTATGAGAACGGGCAGTCTTTCAATATGCTCCATTCAGCTTAAAACATACAACAGGTTAAACATCCATGCGAACAGCATAGAAAGTCATTATTCTAGCCTGAAGTTGCTTTTTAAAAATGATATGGATATTCTTCTACTGTGTACTAGTTGTATTTTACATTTTTTGTTCACTGTCTTAAATGATATTTCAGTTATGTTCACTCCCAGTCAAGTGTGTATAAGATTGCAATCTAAGCCTCTTTAATATAAGCCCACTAAGAACAGTGTTCTAACCCTTGAATTGTATGTTCAGGT